TCGACATCTGAACATATTTACACAATTTCTTAGACTTTCTGAATTCAAATTCTTTTTTTACGATTGAAATTCGCAACTTTTTTTATTCAGTTTAACTCTAATAGGTAAAATATCACACAAAGATTTAGAAAAAAATTATAAAATAACAGCTGTTTCGAGATTAAGTACATGTTCAACGATTAACTATCGGATCCAGAAATCATCAAGCAAATCTTGATCCAGAAACACATCTACTAACCCGCGTTTGAGTAACTACCGTTGATGGAAAAAACGCTACAATACTCATCCTATGAAGAAGCTGTACCTCATTTGCAGCGTCGTCCTCTTCATCAGCAAAAGCTGCAGCAACCGGTTTAACAGTTGGTTTCTCAGAATCTACGGGTTTTTTCAATATCAAGCCATATCTAAACAAACAGAAACAGATGTATGTGCACCTCAAAAACATTTTAAAAATGCTAATAATTGTAGTAAATCTTACTTCTTTTGGACTGTAGACATACTAACTGCTGCACAGTGTGTGGAAGAAGACAAAACTCGTCGAAATCTGAAAAAAAAAAAAAGAATCGTAAAATCCGCCTTTTCTCGCCTACGGCGGATGACATCAAAACCGCACATCTAAAGTCAGTTTCCAATCTTCTCCGTCTCATCGGATTATTGAATGGTATCCAAGGGATGCCAAGCAAACATTAAGACGATCGTCAAATAAAGAGGATCCATGTGAACGGTTTATATGACATTATGGGAAGGCGGGAAAAGTCAGCGGAGAGATGCCAGATGTCTCGATATCAAGGAGATACACAGCAATAACAAATGCTGCTACATAAAGCAAAAGGCAAAAAACTCCCGGTATCCAATCCCTAGGACAGGCGGTGAGGTGAGGCACCCGAAAGTAGCATAAGCAGCAGTGCATGCCGAAAGCAAACAATAGCTAGCAAAGATGCCAATCGCTGCCTCTTCCAAAGGTTCTGCCGGTTTGTTTAACTCCTCGGCATATGCCAGTGCCAGCTTACTATCGAAAACATTAACGAATCATAGAGAGATAGGATGTCCCACTGGCAGGGTGGAAGCCTCAAATTCCAGCATGAAAGTAACACTGTTTGTTATTACGTCACGTTCAAAAGCACTAAGCAAAGTAGATTTAAGCTGATGGAAGTGAACAAAAACAAAAGAAAAAACCCCTTTGCCACCTGCCCTCTGTAACAGGCGGAGGTATTGTAAGGGTAAAACTGAATAAAAGTAAAATGAAAGAACACGTATAGGAAAATAGTAAATTCAGATACGAATTTATGTGATCCGCAAACAGGTGCGAGGCGACGCAGATATCGCAGAACACGTGAGAATGAGGAGAGAAATAGTTTACTGCAATGTACAACTCCAAAAATGACACAGAGGGAACCTGCATGAGATAGTTGCAAAAAAAACACCGCCGTCACCCAAAAAATCACAGATGGAGCAGTAGTCTGATAGAAGAAACCAGTACCACACAACACAAATGCAAGACGCTTTTTTAATAGAAACACTGCAGTAGTGTCCTCCTACTACGAGATCTCACTTATATTCTACATCATAGAACAAACACCATCTTTTTCTTTCATGATTTTTCTCCATTTTTCACCATTCAGACCCTCTCCCTAAACAATTAGAATTGCACATTCTAAGAATACTGGGTAGGAGGGTGTACAGATGATTCCAACTCTTATTCTCTTGCTAAGGAATGAAACACAGGCTGCTCTGGAGCTATTGTTCGCCGGTATTTTTGGTGCCTACATTCAATATTTGGGTTTTAGTAGACCATAATAAAGATATAAACTTTTTAATGTTTTACATTAATAACGTTGATTTTACAACCCAAACACGAGAAGACGAAAAGAATGTCAGGATCGACAGCAGGCTGACCAAAGACGAAGCAGCATTAGCCAAAGCCACTGAAAAAACTGGCAACTGCATAGACTTAGAACAGTTTCGCCACAGCAGTATGCACTGAGAGGAAAGTGTAACTTCTACTTCAGTTGATTAATTTAATCAAATACGAGAAAGCTCACTCATTTTTA